TGAGACCTTGAGCATCCTGTTCTAGTGGGAGGTTTCCCTGCCCATGGCAAGGGGTTGGAATGACATTATCTTTAAGGTCCCTTCCAACCCAAGCCATTTGGGATTCTATGAAACTGATTCTGGACACCACAGATCCTGCTCAGGAGGAAGGTGTGCAGATCCAAGAACTGGGCTTTTTTTCCCTACATTCTCCATTTTCTGTTTTGCAGCAGGGTGACTGCTGCACTTTATTTGACCCCTGGTGGTGATACAGAAGCAAGGAGGGATTTATCTCTGCAGAGAGCTTCAAGCAGCTCACCTGCTCTCCTAACACCCAACCCAATCCCCTGCCTCAAAGCAAGACTCAAAGTTCAAATTTTTCACACAACTTCAAAGCAAGACTCAGGTGGCACAAAAGCCACGTAGGCAGCTCACTCAGAGCTGACCTTCTCCATCCACCCCTGGTCACACAATCCCTTCCCATCCCCAGCCCATGCCAGCCTTGCCCTCCCTGGCTGCTGCCTCTCCCACCTGCAGCCCAGCAGCACAGACAGACACGTGCATTTGGAAGGACCTGGCATTTGAAGTGCTTTCACTGCAGTCACGCCCACAGTAAAAATTATAGTTCCCATAAATGACATATGCAACTACAATTTGGTCAAAGTCTTTTCAAGGCTTCCGACTGAGCAAGTTATATGTTGTAAAGGTCATCGTAAAGCATCAGAGAAGTTTAAATCTCTATGACCTCCAGAGCTCTCTAATGACTTTTTATCAGCTTCAACTTGGAGCTCACATATTCAAGCAGCAACCAGCAGTTGCAAAAGTTCCTGCATAGAAACCAGAAAATTACAAACAACACAGACACGGCCAGATGCAGCTGCAAATTAAATGCTGTGAAGAGAAATGAAGGGGCAGCCATGCTTTGCATAGCTCATAACTTGTAGTACGAGCACTGGGCAGGGATAACAGAGCAAAGAAGAGGTTCCTTATTCCCCAGGAAAACTCCTTTCTCCTCACCTCCAGCGTCCTCACAGGACTGGAGGCGGTAGAGGAGATGAATCATACAATATTTGCAAGACTTGTAAAATCTTATCAATTCTGAAAGCCAATTTGTGCTAATCAGCACATATCGCAAGTGCAAATGATAACTCAAAGGAGCAGTGAAATGACTGGTGCAACCAGCTGAAATTGAATCATCTGGAAGTTCACTTGTGGCCACGAGACCAAATTGTCACATATCCCATTCTTCCTCCAATTCTTCCTTAAAAGGGACTTATTTCCCTCTCTTAAGCAGCCACAACAGGATGATGTGCCTTGAACTCCAGTTCACTGCCTCTCTCATGAGTGCTGGGAATGGGCCAGTGTCCTCATGTAACCAAACACCAGCTCCCCTCAGGACAGCTGGTTGCTGTTCCCCCCCAAGCTCTCACAGTGCCCTTCAGAAGATGCCAGGCCCCTCTTGCTGCCATGCCTGTCCCTCAGCACAGGGTACAGAGCCACCAGCTTGCTTTCTTCTACTGAGGTCTGCCAGATCATGGTCCAGCCTGAGATACCGTGCAAAGAACTGGTGGGGCAGTACATTACACAGCTAAGCTTCTCCAGTTGCAGGAAGTTTAGGGGATCCTCATTTATTTTTCCTTTGCATCTAATTTACCAGCAGCATCAACTATGAAGAGTATCTCCCTGTATCTCCCAGTATCTCCCTGGAGCATCAGCAAACAGGCGTCATTCCAGGGCTCTGTACAGTGTATACAGACTGAAAGGAGCCAAGTTCACTTTTAATTGTGCAGCTGATACTGTGAACTTTCTTCTACAAGTTGTTAAAACAGTTTTTTTCATCTTTTGGACAGCTTAGCCTGAGTCAAATTTTAGCTTCGGTTATATGGGTTTAAGTCTGGAGGAACTGATAATCTCAAAGCAGCACCAAAGTCACGTTTTCTCCTCCACTGGAACTCTGAGGTTGTGCAACAGAGGAAATGGCAAAGCTGGACTAACTCTGGACTTTGAACACAGCTACTGAAACTCGTGCTTTGAGTGTGTGAACCCCCTTTACTCCTGTAAGTTAGCAATCCAGTTAATCAAGTAATGCAGTTAATCAATTAGGTACTTCAGTTAATAAATTACTACACAGAAGAATTCCAACTTTTCAAAAGGATCCAAAAAAGCAACACTCCAAAGCCAGTGTTTTTTACAGTACAGGCTGAACTCTTGATTTTAAAGCAATAAAGCTTCCTAATGGTCCTGAGTTTCAGAATTAAGCACATCTGAAGCAAAATAAAAGCTGAGATTTACAATGCATCTGTTGACCAGTCTTTAATTGCAGCAGCCCCTTGTGTCACACCAAGTCCTGTGTGCCACCCGTTGTTCAACTTCATACATAAAGCTTTGGCACACTCTGAGTTTTCAGAGTCTCTGTTATTCAAAGACTTTATTTTATTCATAACCTGACAAAAAAAGATGTCTTTCAGGAGAAGGGGAGACTCAAAGGAGATCCACAGTCACTTAATGGCCTAATTTCTAGCACTAACCACACGAAGATAAATTAGGCCTTCAGACACTCTTCTCTTCCAACAGGGATCTCTCGAGTTTACCAACACACACGATTATAAAATGCTGTCTGCAAACAGTAGGGCAATCTGAAAACTTGCTCTTATCTGTTATTGCAAAATAGACACCAAAGGGTAGGATTCACCTCACCTAATTTAAGCCATCTAAATAGTTGCCATCTCATCTCATCAAATCACTGCAGCTTCCTCCATGGCCAATGGCATGAGATCCCCTCCTATTTTAGGATGGAAAAAGGAACAGCAAAGAAGGCTTTGATGCTGCTGGTGGGGGAGAACAGATCAATAGTTTACGACAGATGCCAAGGTCTGGGAGAATCCCACTATGACACGTCCAAGAGCATGCAGGCCTCACTGCACAGAGACTAGGTTCAATTAATTGTACACAGCCCTAGTCCTGAGGAGGAGCAGGAGGGGCTGGTCCCTGGCTCCATCAAATGGGGAATTAGGGAGGGAAGGAACCTGAAAAACAGCAGAATGATCTAACAGCTCATCATGCAATCTGCAACTATGAATGTCCATTTCATTTCACTAAAACATATGAGACATCTTGAACATTTCAAATACTCTGGAATGTTTAAGGGTCAGGCTTATCCCTGGCTTTTATCCACTCACCTTGTTTCAGCATCATTTGACTCCAGTCACACTTTTTTCCCAATCAAAAAAGTATTATGAATTTGCTTCCCTGTGGTAAGTTTCCCTTAAATGCTTTTCCTTTCCCATAAACTCAATTAATTGTGAACACCTAGAAAAAGTAAGCTTAGGGAAAAGACTTTCCTAGAAAACTGCTTGACACAGTTTCTTCTCTGATGTTTCTGATACTTTTCCCCTCTAGTAATTTTAAATATACACTGTATCTCACAGATGAGGTGACTTTTTCCTATTTTTCAGTCTTGCATAATGAAACACTTTGTACAGAAAAAAATCTTTCTCGAGGTTGGTGGGTCACTGATGATTTGGCTCTGAATAAACAGTCCTGGCAAGCTATACCTGAAAATAAAGTCATCTGGGAAACACTGAAAGAACTTATCATCAGATCTGAGCAGCTTGCTGGGGAAAACTGTATCTCAAATCACCACTTTGAGCATGGCTGACCATGCCAGTGGACACACAATGAAGATGAACAGTCCTGACTGCTTTGTTTCCTGATTTCACATGGAAATGAGGTGCAGATGCACTGCCAGTCCCTCTCATAAGGTTGAATTTGGCCCATCACCACAGTTTACTGACCTAGTCATGAGCACTTGTGTCACCCCCAGCTTGTGCACACCACACTGACCCTCGGAAGGTCTTGGTTTCAGGTTGGGAAGGGCAGGGAAATTTTCAAGAAATATCTTAAATCCATAGGGCTAAGGCTCCATCAGCTGTTCTGCTCACAGAACTACTTTTTTTTTTTTTTTTTCCTGTTATTTACTGGCTTCCAAAGTTTGATGAAAGACCTTTGTGAGCAGATAATTCAATGCAAAGGATGATGCCCTTCAGTGTTTCTTAAAATCGAACACTTTCATGAGTTGATGTTCCAGAAAACTACCAATTATCATTTTGATCCCTTTAGGATTAAACTCTAGGAGGATTAACTAGGATAGCAAGATAAGAAAACAAATCCAAAGAAAGCACACTTTACAGAAGATTTAAAGCCTTCCACAAATCTGCACTTGGTAAGTTCAGTGTAGTGCTGAATCAGACACGGCAGAACCCTGTGCAATCCACCCGTGTATGTGAGATCTTAATCTTCATTTCACAGCCCCAAACCAGACTGTTGCCATCTGCAGCATCTGAGCCAAGTAATTTCAAGCTGATTTATTACATTTCTAACTCTGAACATCCATCATTCTGCAACCAGCCTAAAGGGAGATGCCCTATACCTTAACTTACACATTTTACCGTGGTCTCCCTCTAAAGCTGCCTGCCAATCATAATATTTAAATCCTATGAAGTTTGCTTCATGTTTTCTGTAATTTCAAGTCCACACTGTATTCTGTTAACACACTGGGTTGCCAGATAAGCTGCAATAACTTTAGTATGGGAAAAGGTGCTACCACACCTGCACTTCTCATTTGCTGCTCCCTTGAATAGCCTCACTACACTGGCTCTGTTTCTGACATCATAGAAATGAATGCTATTATTTTCTAAATACATTGTAAATTCTACCAATATCTAGCACCAAGTGTTTGCATTTACCCCTGAGATAAGAAAGCTGTTCTCAGAAGCTCCAACAAGCCCCAGGGTTGTGAGGGTATGTGATGCTGCTCACGACAGAGCAGCAGCTCATTTTAGCCTCTTCAGCACACAACTGGGTACCACAGACAACAGCAATTTATTTCCCTTCTCAGGGCTTTTCTAAAAACAACAGCCCAATTTCTAGCATGCCTGGCAGCAACAGATCAGCTTGACTTGCAGTTAAGAGTGAATCTGAATACAAATTTTGAAAGCAGAATCCGTTACATGCTACAGAATTTCAGTCTTCTTTTATTACAATAGAAAGAGAGAGGTGAGAAGTAACAATAAAACTGGAACTTGGGGTGCATTCTGACACAGAAAAGTTATGAAAGGCAACAGAGTCTTCCTTACAGTACAGTAATTCTTAAGGATGCACCAAAAGGATTATTTACCTCTGCAGTGAACTGTTATCAAGGATTGAGAAAATTTTACCCCGTCTACACAACAAATATACAACATAACCACAGACCATTTTGGAAACCCATTGTCAATAAAATTCTGCTCAAAGAAATTAAGCCAGTCCCATCTCTACCAGACCACCCGAGGTTTTATTTGGGTATCTAAAACCCAACAGGTTTTCCCAAGTTGAATTACTTGGATTTTACTTGGATTAATTTGAATTCCCGAAAAGGATTTTGTCAGAGGAACTTAGGCAGAGGTTGGTTTTTTTTTCAGTCAAGCCCATCTCCAACAACTCTTGCAGCATAAAAATATAGTAAAGACGTAAGCATTTGGTGTCGTAGAGCTCTTCTACGCCTCGTACTCAAATATTTTAAGATCCTCGAGGAGTTCTTTGGCGAGCGCCTGCAGCTCTGCATTGCGGCTCTGGGACAGGGCGACGATGCGCTGGAAGGGCAGCGTCTCGCGCACCTCGGCGCCCGCCCGGGCCAGCACCTCCGGCTCCAGGAGCACCGACTGCAGCAGCCGCAGGGTGTGCAGGCAAACCTCTGTGTCTGGGTCTGAAAGCAAGGAAGGAAAGCGTCCAGGGCTTGTTAGAAGCGGGTCTGAAAGGATCCACCAGGCAGACATGGAATAAAGGAGGTGTGTAGGAGCGACGGGGGATAGGACAGTCAGGATGGACGGAGACAAGAGATCTCTGCAGGCAGGTTTTGGAACTTTGGGGCCCTATTGCAAAGGGCCTGGGTGCAGGGGCCCTGCTGGGAGCTGCCAGCCACAGCTCGGAGCAGGCCCCAGAGAGGGACAGAGAGGTAAAGAGAGTGGTAAAGAGAAAGAAGGCAAGAGCGTGGTAAACAGGATGAGAGAGCGAGGAAGAGTAAAAGAGAGTGAAGTTCCCATTGCAATACCATAAATCTTTTCCTGTGCTGAATATTCTAATTCTCACTAACCAATCTAATACAAGATACAAATCCTATAGCATTTACATACAGACTACAAGAATCATTACATTACCATACTGTGTTACATTTTAAAAACTACTCTTTGGACCCCTTCTGCCAAGCTAGAAGGGTCTGCTCTGACCCTTGGACCTGTCTGCAAGCAGAGGGTATTGTTCCATCCAAAGGGGATTACCTTCAGCCAGCCATACCATTGTTTTCCAGTTGTTCAGTAACTAAGGTATCTCAAAGCTTGCTTTCATTTCAATCTTGCTTACAGTTTCCATATTCTCAAAATCTTTTGCCAGGCAATCATATTTACAAGGCTTTCCTGTTTCGTCTTTCCCAACAGAGGTGTCGTAATACCAGGTGCTGTTTGCTGCTGGCTGGTTGGCTCTGGGAGGTACCTGAAAACCACATTTTTGTCCTCCCTCAGCAGGTTCTGCCCAGCAGTGTTTGTGAGGGAGATTATCAGGAACCTTTCTCTTGTTTTTCAGATGTTGAAACTGCAGTAAAGCAGGGAATTTATCAACCTGAATTTATCCAGTCAGTACCCAGGATGTACTGTTGGATGCAGTCCAATTTAAGAGCAGAACAAACTGTATCCCGTGATTATTCAGACTTAAAAAAACAAACAGACTAACAATCTGCAGTAAATCATCAGGCTTTTCTTTAATTTCTTTTTATATGAGGCTTTGGATTTCCTCAAAGCTCAATAAAATATTAATCTTAATAAAACTTTCTAGCAACCACATATCAACCTTTTGAGTGTTTAATTCAGTCTGCACAAAATTGAAATGGGTATTGAAGCACTGCTGCTCAGGAATGTGCCAGAGAAATGCAGCAAAGACCTTTGACTGACTTAAGCCAGGAAGACATGTAATAACTCCACTGCTAAGAACACAGAATGCATTTTTAATTACTGAAACATTAGGAGCATTACATTTTAATCATTTGCAATGGCCCATTTGCATTTAGTGGTTTACAGCTTTATCAAAAGCATGTGGTAGAAAGACTTCCCTATTCTGCATATTCCAAATGAAAACATCTAATATATTTTTACAGCTGAAGCAGTTATTTGTCCCACGTGCCATGCATTTTTAATGTGTTTTTCATTAGCATACCTAGTCTTCAGCAAGCTTTTGATAAAGGATTCTGCAGAAAGGTTGAAAAAATTAATTCAGATCACTTTGAGCACAAAATCACCAGAGAGACCAAAATCTCACTGAAGGAGCATAAAACCAGAGCAGTGATGAACTGGAGTGCACTGAGTTTGGAGGAGGTATTTGGTAGGGCTGAGGCAAGTTCTTTCCTTTCCTGGCTTATTTCACATGTAACACTGGTGACCTGAAAAAGGACTGAGGAGAATTATTCATTAAAGCATAAGGGTTGAAAGCACCCAGGGGGGCAGAGAACAGGATGTGATGGACACTGAAGAAGACTCTGGATTTCAGCATGAAACTCACTGCTGAGATGGGGATTTTTAAGTAACTCCCAACAGCACAAAGCTGAAGAACAATATTAAAGATTGTGCCATCTGATCTACACCCAAAAGCAGGGCACTCTCTCTCTTCCCCCACTTTCCATCATAAATGGAAATTATCAAGTGTTAACCTCTTAAGAAAGTTCAACTTTCTTCTGGAAAACCAGCAGAATGGGGTATAATCTGAGGACAAAGGTATTGTCCACACCCAAAAAATAACGCGCATTTTCTCCTTTTCAATGCAAATCCTGGCTGTTGGGCATGCTGGACAATTTTAAACACGTCAGGTCAATAAAGGCCCTGTGATTAGTGCTGCAGACCCATGGCACAGCCACTCTTATTGCTGACACCCAGGCTGAAGGCTCTAAGGAGTCCCTTTCCATCATCACCTCCAGCAGTACCTGCAGGTGCAACTTTCTGAGTGATGAGCACTCAAAACTCTTGGGGAAATGCTGCAGCTCAGCCTCACAGACAGCAAGACTTTATGTCCAATTTCCTGGCCAGCAACACTTCAGTGAATCCTTCTGAAAAAAACCTAGGTACAAGTTTTGCTTTTCAGGGTTATTCTGACCTAATCAAAATATGACTAAAAGCCTTGAATTTGTCTTCCCTTGCCTTCCATTTTTGCCTCCATGACTTTCACACTGTGTATTTTTTAATGTCTATTTTTTTGCCTGATACAATGTTCAAACTCTGCACAAATCACCTCCCCCTTTTGCTGTTCTTAGTATTATTCTACATTTATTAATTGGAAATAGCAGCCACAAACTATAGCCCAAATAGGTAAGAAGAAAGAAGCTTTGGGGAGTGAAATCTATGTAGTTCATTTACAATCTTCCTCTGTGTGACATTATTCCTCCATGAAATAAAGCCACTAATACTTTTAATGGCTTGCAGTACTGCTGGGAAGCTTCATATATGTAAGATGAAAAGAGCTTTGTTATTAATACTGTTACAGGAATCAATATTAGTATTATCTGCAAGTGTTTAAAGGCTGTAGAAATTACAGAATCGATCAAGGGAGATGCCTTAGCAGGGGAGCCAAGAAAATGAGGATCTGTAGGAGATCAGGAAATTATTTCCAGCTTGACAAACAAGAATGTTTTCCAGTAAGAGCAGAGAGGTTCTAGGAAGAATCCCCAGCAGCAGCCAGGGAAGCTCAAGCTTGAGTCACTCAAATGAAGAACAGATTAGGCACGCGGGCATCCAGCAAAGGAAGGAAATGATCCTGCACCAGAAGATGACTTAATACACATTTAACCTCAGATTGCCATTGTTTTGAATGTATTCTGAGATGTTCTGAGTTAAATAAATACATATGCCTTAAAATACGCTCCCTGAGGATTACATGTGGTTTTGACAATACTACTTATTGAGGATAATCATGCTTCCTAAGACGATTTAAAAAAAATAGCAGAGAAATCATTCTCTTGTCTCTGATATCATTAGGGACGTTTTCTAAAAGCCCTGTCTACAAAGCACTCAGAGAAATGTAAGGAATCTTCATTATTCAGCATTATATTTATGTCAACAGCTTCCAGATTTAGTCATTTCTACACTAGCTGCGTAACATTTTGTTTGTACAAGATCAAAAAAATCCTTTAGCTGTAATCAAATCAGTGCATCACATCCTCCCAACCACCAGCACACACATCTCCAACGACAATTTCAAAACTATCACCATTATTTCTGGAGAAGAGGGGGAGAAATCAGGCTGCTTGCCTCAGCCAGGATCACAGGCGTAGCACAAACCATCATAAGGTGCTGATGTAATTTTACCAAGGTGTTGAAACTGCTGGAGCAGGCTGACGTCCTGCAAGCTGCCAGCTCAGTTTGATGTCACTGGCTTTAAGTCACTGACAAAAGGCAGCTGATAACGTGGATGGATTTTAGTCACATCTGTCATTAGCACCAGGCTCTCAGATGAACTGTCCCCTACAGCAGTGTTTAAGTAATTGCATTACATCAATGCTGAACAGCTTATCCACAATTGGCTCTGAGTTGAGTGAACTCAATTTACACGTGGCCACACCATCCCCTGGCCACCTGAATGCAAGATTTATTGCCAGCACACTCTTTACAGCTGTGCCTGTGTACAAGAGCACAGAAGTTCTCAAGGCCAAGTGCAAGGTCCTGCACATGGGTCAGGGCAATTCCAAGCACAAGCACAGGCTGGGGGATTGAGAGCAGCCCTGAGGAGAAGGACTCAGGGGTGTTGGTGGATGAGAGGCTGGATATGAGCTGGCCATGTGCACTGACAGCCCAGAAAGCCAAAATTGTCCTGGGCTGCATCCAAAGCACCGTGGGCAGCAGGGGAGGGGGGAATTCTGCCCCTCTGCCCCACTCAGGTGAGACCCCACCTGCAGAGCTGCCTCCAGCCCCAGAGTTCACAGTATAAGGAAGGTGTGGGTCTGTTAGGAGTGAGTCCAGAGGAGGGACATAAGGATGGTCAGAGGGCTGGGACACCTCTGCTATGGAGACAGGCTGAGAGAGCTGGGGCTGTTCAGCCTGGAGAAGGCTCTGGAGAGAGCTTAGAGCCTCTTCCAGTGCCTAAAGGAGCTACAAGAGAGCTGGAGAGGGACTTTGTACATGGGAATGTAGTAACAGGACAAGGGGCAATGGCTTTAAACTGCAAGAGGGGCTGGTTAGATTAAATATTATGAAGAAATTCTTCACTATGTGTGTGATACGTCACTGGCACAGCCTGGCCAGAGAAGCTGTGGATACCTTATCCCTGCTGGAAGTGTTCAAATTCAGGTTGGATGCACTTCTGAGCAACTTGGTCTAGTGGAAAGATATCCCTGCTCACAGCAGGGGGGTTGGAATGAGATGCTCTTTAAGATCCCTTCCAATTTAAATCATTCTATGACTTTACAATTTCAAAAGCTTCCCACCACTGCTGTAGATATGATTCAATTCAATTCCTGTCTGATTCCAGCAGGAAGGAGCAATCTGCCTCTCAGCCTTTCCTTGTAATGAGCCTGTCAGACTCTCTGTGTTCACAGCATATCCAACAGAGACAGCCACGGCCACGGCTTCCCCCGAGTAAGATCTCTTTGCATTGCCAGTGCTGGCAGGGCTGAGGCAGCATCTGCAGCAGCAGTTTTCCAGACATTTCTATACTGTTGATAGGTCTGAGGAGACAAGAAATGTTGTGGTAAAGATGCTCTGAGGAGAAGGAGCAGGGAGAACACCAAAGTAGAAAAAAAGACCAAGCTTTGCTGCTGCAATTCTTATAGACACGAATGCACTTTCTCTCTGCAAAATTTTTGCCCCAGCTCCTGAGTTACAGCTGGGTTTCTTCTTCTCTTCCCTGGCTGGGTGGCTGCTCCCACATGGAGTTCAGCTAAGGAGAATTCCCCACTCTCCTACAGAGACATATTTGTCATGCTTTTATCAGAGAAATCCTTGAGAGAGACTCCCAGAATCCAAACTGAAGCAGCAATTCAGTCCCAATTTGCCTGGCCTCCACTCAGGGGATGAGAGTGAACAGGAGTTTGCACAGAGCTCTGTGGCTGGTGGGTAACAGCGCTCCTCACAGAACATCAATCAGCATGAGCTGTTAGGCAGGGCAAGGACCCTGTCAAGAAGCTCCTGCTCAGATGGCAAGGACAGCCCAGAGCTCCATCTGGGCAAGCAGCTGAGTATGGAAAAGGGCAGGCATTCCATCAGACTTGCCCTGGCCACTCTTCCAGCCTCACAGATAACTGAGGCTCAGGGAACACTGTGTCAGAGCTGACATCCCTGCACTTACCCAAATGGATGTGGTCTTAAAGGGCAATGCTCCCCCTTAAGATTAATTTCATCATCTGCAGAACACCATGAAGATGAATCAGGGGCAGTTTAGGCTGGATGTCAGAAGGTTTTTCAGCCAGAAGGTGGATGGGCACTAGAATAAGCATCCAAAGCTCCACAGGGAAGTTGTTACAGCCCCAAGCCTGCCAGAGTTCAAGGAGCATTTGGACAACATTCTCAGGCACATGGTGGGATTCTTGAGATGTTTTGTGGGGTCAGGAGTTGGACTCGATGATCCTGATGGGTCCCTTCCAACTCAGCATATTCTATGGTTCTATGACAAGAGGATAAAATTGTTGAGCACTTGAAAGACTGGTTTTGATTTATAACCCAAAATTTGTTTTAATACAGACATCAGTTTATAAATATGACAGTTCTGTTTGTCCAGATGTTTTTTTAAATAACATGCTGCCATGCAAATAACCTGCAATTTCAAAAGCTCTCGCAGCCATAACGAATTCAGACAGAAAACCTTCAGAGTTAGTAATGAAAAGCAAATATTGAGGGTGTAGGCAGCAGAGTGAGAATGTGCTTCATACAAGCATTTCTAATAGAGACCATCATTTGCAAAGAATTTGGATAAACAAGGTTGGATTTCCACATGGAACTGTGGTGGAGGAAACTGAAGGGCAAGATCTAAAATTAGTCCTATTTCTCTTTTTGTGTTTTGTTTAATGAAGTACCTGGAGCCATTTCCCAGCTATGGACAAGAAATGTCACTGACAAAGTGTCTCTGAATTCCATGCTTTCTCAAGTATCCAAAGAGACAAATTTTTTAAACTGCCTGCATTCAAAGAAAAGGAAAGTGGGGAAAAAACCAAAATAAAGACACAAAAGACACACAGTGTTAAAAAAAAAACAACCAATCAAAAAACCTCAACCAAACAGAAAGCAGAGAAGAGTCTATACTCCTTTTCTCCAGCACTCATTTGTTGGCAGATGTTCTGCATGATCAAAACCAAAAACCATTAAATTTAGTCTTTATTATTAATACCTGAGCTGATTGTTATTTCTTATTCTTCAAGAGATCCTTGACAGAGTAATGTTCCATCCACTTCTTTGAAAGTTACAGAATGGAGATCTTATTGCATCTTTAGATGGAAAACACCAGAAAAAAAAATACTGACAAATCTCAGGTGGATTTCTACCCAATATGATACAGGCTTCTTTTTCTGTGGCTGAGGACAGGGCTTCTTTAAATCTCTAAGTTATGTGAAACCCTCAGCCAGGACACCAACACAAGGACAACAGCTGATGGAGGAAACTAAAGCTGCCTATTTTGTCCAAGATGGGAACAGCTGCTCTGCAAACAAATGGTGCTCCACAAGAAGAGAACTCTATTGATCCCACAAGCTGCTCCATGGACAGAAATCTGAGTCATCACTCATGTGCTTTATGCTGGTGCCAGGCTGGGAAGGTGTAGGCAGGCACAGCTGATACCTACACAGAGGATTCAGTGAGCAGTGTTGGTTAATAAAGGGTGTCCATCTTTCAGAAAGTTTTACAAAGGCAGAAAAAAAAGAAGAAAAAGCCCACCTCATGAAGTGAGAAAACTACAGATACCTGCATTATCTTCAAAAATTGTGTGAAACATTTGGTTTTCCCCTATAGCAGTAGAAACATTTGGTTTTCTCCTATGATCTTTTCCAGCAGAAAGAGCTATTAAGAATTCTTCTTAGTGAACATGAAGTCACACCAGCTCATCCAAGTTTCCCAAAGACAGTAGGACAGTTTGCTGTTAACATTCTTACTCCACTGGAACCTTTATTAGATTTTTTTCCTTCTTTCTTTTCCAATTGCTGTATTCAACATCGAGGCACATTTCTGTCTCTTCAAAAATGCTGTGAGACAACTTGAATCAAATTCCTCTTTGTCTCAGATACAACAAAGAGAAATAAAGAAAATCAAGCCAATTATTTTCCTCTCTTCATTTAATGGGAAGGACATTCTTCTTCAGGGAACAAGGATAGGCAGAGACTAAGAACTCAGGGAAGGAATTTGAGGGAGTTATCAGCTGCATACAAGGCAGTGGGAGAAAGATGGGCCTGATGTACAGGCTGAGGTCATGGACATTTGGAGATTGACAATGGAAAAGCAAACAGGATGATTCTCTGAAAATAATTTAAAAAAATATATCAGAGGATGATTTCTGGGGCCTCTCTTAGTGGGAATGGTGACAAAAGCATACAAAACTGGAAAGCTGTCATGTCATAAGCCTTAATCAAAACAGGCCTTGAAGAAGCTTCCTGCAGGCAGGCAGCACATCCAAGATACTCTGCCAGCACAGGGCAGTGCTCTACTCTCCTGCATGGAAAAACAGGACCTTATACTGTAGCAGCTCCAGGTATTTATGAGCTGAATCTTGGCTACCAGAACCTGAAGATGCTGGTCAGGGAAACAGGAGATGAGCAAGAGCGGGAGGAAGCTGCTGAATTTTCAGAGCAGAGACATTTAGAAATAGATTAAATGTTGGAAAACTGCAGAGATCTCACACAAAATGATGGGAACAAGATCAGGTCTTGGATCTGACCCCTCATCTGATATCCAAACCAGGCAGCTCTCTCTTGACAGAAAGCAGATTTCCTCTGAACTCAGGAATCTGAACCTGCAGAACTGCTTTATCTGAGAATCTTCCTCCCTTGCTGTAACTGGAGAAGTTTATTATCAAAAAGTCAAAGAATTAGCCATGATCATCCTTCTTTCTACAACCCAGCCATAAGCAATTAGCACTTCCAAACTGCAGAGTAGCCTATTTATTATTTCCATTAGTAGCTGCAAATTAATTATAAATGTTTCCCATTTCATCCTCTTACTTGACCTAGGAGCCTTTTTTGGACAACATACTGCATCAAGTTATTACCTTGTTTGTTTTATCACAACAATTGGAAGGGCATATTTGGGAACTCACAGCCAGACACGATTCTTTGAGGGTGTTTTGGGTTGGTATTTTTTGCTGGAACAGCTTATGTATATATTAGCCAACATCAATTAAAAGGAAAACCTGGACTAAGACATGTAAAATTTCAAAGCACAGCTGAACAAAGAACCATGTACTTGATGTTCTCTGAGGATCCCATTTTTACCAAAATATATTAAAAATCCCTATAGAAATGGTGTTTTCCCTTACAAGAATGACTTAATTTCCTGAGACCTTGGAAGAGAGAGCCTGTGGCATTTCACAGCAGGAAATTATTTGATGAAAAGCTTGAGCAGCTACATTTTCTGTAAAATAGTTAAGGGAACCAGGAACTATACAAATAGCTTTAAGTTTACCAAACCTAACCACAGCTTTTTCAAAAACTCAGCATCAAAATAATGTCTGGAAAAAGCAGATGCAATCTCTCTCATTTCAGCTGCTCTAAGTATTTACCAGTCATACTCCAGCAAGGTTTTAGCAGCACAGAGGGATAATTAACCTCCCCAGTCCTGTCTGCACACCAAAATCTCCTCATAAATCTTGAGGAAGCACAGGCAGGGCAGTGTCACAGCTCTGTCCCCCTGCTGTCCCTCACGAGCTGTGCACGCAGCTGCCAGCCCAGTCCAACGTCAATCCCTGCTGGCTCCTGCTCAGGGATTTGAAGCCTCCCAAAGAGCAGAGCCTTGATGTCACTCATGCACCTGACAGTGACAACACAAGTCCTTGACGTCCTTGGAGTCCTGCACTGGCCAAAGGCATAGCTGGGAACAGCTCTCCAGCCCTGGAGCCCCAAATCCCATTAGAGCACAGGGCCTCTCTTCAGAAACAGACACTTTTGCAATAGGTCACTGAAGTTACAGACTTGGCTGCTTCCCCCTAATGTGTACATTTTCCTGTGTTAATCGTAGTGAACTGATATGTAGTTTCCCCTTAAAGTTTATTTTAAAGTTGGCAGCAGGAAACAAGTAGCTTTTTTTAAAGCTACTTAATCAAATTTCTCCATTCCCTATTCTTAAACCTACCAGCCTTAAACTTCACATTAATGGAATATTACATACAGTGTCAAAAATGTTGTGGGAAATGCACATCTTCTCCCTCCATCTATTTGTCCTTTATGCTTACTTTTATTTTGTCAAAAACTAATCAGGGTACAGATATAAATTTCTGGTTTGTTATTTGCAAAATCTATTGCAAGTCTTCAAAATCCTGAAAGTCAAAGTTTACAAGGTTCTTAGAGCAACTTACCATTCAACAGCCACCAAAGCAGGGGAATAAAACCTGGATTTTCACTGATGTACTTCAAGCCTTTCAAGTTGATACTCACATTGTAAAGTGACATTAGCATTAGCCTAGAATTGAAAGAAAGGAGATCTGAGGCCCTTTGATTTCTTTGCATGCTTCAGCACCTTTTGCCATTTGTGTCAAGCATGTACCAATGCAGAAGCCTGTGCTAATAACTTATATTTTGGTAACAGAGATAAATCTCAAACTATATATAAGCAATGTTGTGCAAACCTTTGTTTCTATTGTTAAATCACATACTCCAAACACGTGGAAAAGAATAAGAAGGTCTCTTACTCTTCGTAAGGGAGGGGCTGGAATGTTCTCTGTTCTGGAGCCAGCTTGGCTACTGCTCTCTCTTATCCCTGTGTGTCACTGCACTGCCACCATGTCCAAACAAAAGGGAAATGATAATTCCAAATGGAGCTTCACACCTCACATCCAATTCTCAAACAAGGTCTCATGGCTTAAGCTCCTGTGCTACCAGCACACTTTTGGACACTCTGTGAACACCTCCAGAGAGCAGAAAAGGCAGTGACCCATTGCAGGCTAAACTGAGTTTTCAGAGGTGTCATTTATGTGCTCTGAGTTTTATTATTAAGAAGAAGAAAGAAGGAAGAGCAGATTTATTAAAACTACTGCACCAGTGGCCACTGCCAAGCAGGGAGAGGTGCTTTGGATCTCAAATTGCAGCTGGTAAAGGCCATACATGGCTTTTCCTCCAGCCCCTGCAGCTCTGGGCTTTCAGAACAAGCCCTGACAAAAGAGCACAGCACAACCTATAATCAGCCAGAATGGAAATGATCAATAAACCATCATCTTATAATGGCAATGTTAACATTTCTTGAGAATGTCTTTTACCCTTAATCTGTTTGACATTTGCAGTTAGAAATAAAGTGACGTAAAAAGGCGCTGCTGTGTTTGTATTTTTATTTCACTTGTTTGCTTTGTGCAGACAAAAGGGACTGGTGCTGGTGATCCAGGGAAGTGCTGAGGTTTTTGGAGTGCTGGAACACCCCACAAGCCAATGCAGTGGCACATTAATACATAACAGCATATTTAATTAAACACACTCACCTGGGCACAACAGAGAAGCACTTCCAGGCCCTTTATAACCACCTTCACCCCCAGTATCAGCACATTTTAGTAAATATTTTTTGCAACAATAATTGCAAAAGTGCTTATTGAAGCAAACCTGACACAAATGATTACTGGATAAACAATACTTTCTGGTGTTTTTTTTCAAAATGTGGAGTGAGTCTTAATTATGCATTTCATAATCTTAGACAAGCCAAATTTAATTAACATCTTGTACTACTGTATCTATCAATGCTTTCTTTAAAATCTAGAACTAAATACACAGCTAAAGCCCCTTTTTGTCTTGTAATACATGGGATTAGTATATAAAATGTACTATTATGTTTAAATATGTTTTTTTACTGGCTACTTTCAACTGCCACAAAAGCAATTAACCATTTAATTACAGCTACAAGCAATTATGCAAATGTTTATTGACTGTGTAACAATTACAAAGATTGAACAAACCCTACACCAATGAGAAGAAAACCTAAAGTCTTTCACATCTGCTATTTCAGAAAGGCAAGGACACCCCTGAGATTTCAGTCTCAGCACTCAGGTTGATGCCTAGGATATATTTATTCCATACTCACAGACTACACTGGATATCACAGCAGTTTTGGAGTAAGCAACAAGTTGTCCCTGTAATTTTTTTGTTTATATATTCATCCAAATAGAACACAGGATTGCTAGAACAAGAAAAGAGAACTCCTCTCTTTATCAGCTTAGTTTGATACTGCTCTGTGTAGAACTGGCCCCCTGATTTGTCACACAGCAAAGAAAAATATTTTTGAAAATAAAAGCTAGAAAAGAATCGTAAATCCTCAGAACTAAGCAAAAGACAACTACAGCATTTAAAATTAAAAGCCAAATTTTTTCTTCAACTGATTGGATTTTAAGTTGATGTCTTCCCATGCAACACCATAGTGATACTTTAAGAAAAATACATTGCATTCCCAGAATAATGAACAGACATTTTCATCTGTGAGGTGTAGTTTTAAAAAGGTATCTGAATGTATGAATATGTATATAAATGCATGTGCAAACATTATTTATGATGACTGCAGAGTCCATCTTCACCTAACTTTGAAATTGCATTAGAATTTATGGCAACCTTCATCTCCTTGTCTCACAGTTGTCTTTCATTTTGCCCTGGCTTATGCTCCCTATGGGAGAAGAAAACTGAGTTCTTCTGACACATCTGCTTATGAAAATGCTGATTAAGGTTAACCAGCAGCTAAAAAACCTTACACGCAAAGAACAATTTAAAAACAAATCAACCAACCCTCCAAAACCCTTCTTTTCTGGGCTGGGAAACTGTAAAACTCTCCAAAGGGATAAGAAAAAATACATTGTTAGTTAGGAACAGGTTTTCCAAACTGAACAGCGACAAGACACACACAGAGCTCATAAAAAAAGGGCTTTTTTTTTAAATTATGGACATGAAAGACAAACACAGGGAAACATTTTGCACTAAAACATTTGAGCAAATCAAGCTCCCTCATTCTCTGTCAAGGCCATGAAGAAATGTCCTTTCTGGCATTTGTTCTAATGTCAGAAAACAGCATTTTTTTAAAATCCAATGGCAAGTTCAGAGTAAGGGGAAAAAAAAGTTGGTTCTTTGGGGATCAGAAAATATCATCACTGCACTGCACTCAAGCTATTGTAACATATGCTTAATATTTCTCACTTATCAACCACTTTGAGCAACCTCTTTTCCAAGCTTCCCTCCATTTGTTAGCCTACCAAGCTGGCCCCTGTTGAATTCCCTGCCACCTCATGGGATTGTTCTGTGAATATTTTACCAGCAGTGCTGTACTGGCAGCCAAGTTTACAACACCATGGGTAATTCTTCTGCAAAGCAAGCAGATTTTGAAGTATAATAACAAGCAACCCAAGATATATAAACTCTAAAGAAAGGCCCTCAAATCCAATTACATTAATACAATATGAAGCGATCAAAAAGAGTTTATCTGGACCCATAGACACATATCCACCTGAAATTCAGAGTGTGTGTGTAGGAACACCTTGCCTCCTCCTCTCAAAGTCCTCTTCTATTTTTCCCCCATTCACACATTCTGAAACAGCATGGATCCTCTTTTCAGGGTTGTTTTTTGGGTTTGGTTGTTTGGTTTGATTTTTTTTTACACACAGGAAGGCACAAATTACCTTTTATTTAATAAACTGAAATTCTCATACAATTCTTTCAGTTGGGATGTTCTCAAAAAACCCCTACCACTGACATTCAAGCCCAGTGCTTGGGAAGCAGAGTAAATAACTGATCTCAAATCATCAAGCCACTATCTACAGCACAGGCTGTTCAGCTTTCCCCTCACCACCCAACAGGGAAAGACAAACACCTTCAGAGGGCACCTTGCTCCCCCTCACATGAGCAATCACCTGACAGCACTACCTCCTCCCAGTGAGTGTGGGAAGGAGCCCAGGCAGTCAGCAAATGCTTGACATCCCCCTCTCTGACACTGAGGTTAGGCAGGATAAAACCTCTCCAAAGTGAGACCGTGCCTGATTTCATGACTATCACATCCAACCTGCCTAAATGTGTGCCTGGATGTGGTCAAGTTACTGTAGCTGACAGGGCTGCTGTTTGTCAGCTGAGCTGGGACAGCTGCCTGGGGCATGAACTGTTTGTGTATTTATGGAAAAACCACCACAATGGCTCAAACCACCTTCATGAACAAATGAACCAGGTGTACAGGACCAGTGCCCACGGTTCAGCATATGAGCCACTCGTTAAGCAACAGTAATTTGCTCAGCCAAGGCCATATATCCTCAGCTTGTAAGGTCTTGGAGAAAAAGGCAAAGACAATTGTTTATTTAATCTCTCCATCAGCTGAAAAGTACTTTTACAGTAGCTGAACTGTGCAACAGGGTCTTGCCTTTAGAGCTGTATTGCAAGGTCACTTTACAGCCACTGCCTTTTACAAACTGAAGTGTGTGGTGAGTCTGGCTGCTAAAGAGCCTAAAATGATTTAATTTTTGCTCTTAGCAGCTCCATAACTCACTTTCTTCACTAAGGACATGTGACATTTTAAACTTCATATTAGGAGGGAATAAAAACGAGTTCACATTTCCCACATCTTCTCTGTTGTAAAACTTGACCCCACACCTTCCTTATTTCACACCAAACTCATGACCCCCCCTCCCAGGCTGGAAGAGGGCATCCCTGCTCACCTTTATGGTGCTTAAGAGACTTCCCAAGAGACACAAAACCTGGATAAAGCTTTCTAGTCAACCCCTTTGTAGTCAATCTGCAAGGAATGCTACTGGGAAAAGAGCTTCCAAAAATTATGTTTCCTCTCCAGAAAAGGAATAATGGGAGAGTGGGAAAACTGCTGTCATTACCTGAGCTGCACTGCAAGATAATGCATTTGAAAGGGGCAAGAAAAGTCAACATACACTTTAAATTTGTTACAGAGTCCTGGCTTCATGTCTCCCAGGAGATGCATCATCGTGTCCAGTAATTCCCGACTGGAACTGACCAGGAACTCACGGCCACACGCCAGCGCAGCCACATCTGTGGGAAAGCCCAAAACATCACCAAAAATCATGTTTCAAACAAGAGTTTCTGCTAATTATCAGGACCACTAAAAAGATTGGTCAGCTGTGAAGAATGAACTATGGCATTGGTATAAATTTCAGTCTACATTCACCTATACAGCAAATAGTGAACAACAAACACTAGTCAAGCTCCTTCAAAATTCTGCATTGGTAAACAAAGCATTTATTCAGAATGTCCAGTGTCCCAGTAGCAACACAGTAAATTGTGAAACAAAAGGCTATATTCATCCACATCCATTTGACTGCAACAAAGCTGATCATTATAGGTTCCACTTTAAAGGAACAGGATTGCAGAGTTTTACAACCACTCAATTCAATATACCTGGCACATCACACAACCAAAACTCTTATGAACATCTACTCAAAACAAGTTTTTTTCCTACCTCTCAGCAAGTGTGGCATTATTCAACCACAAACCAAAAGACAAAATTATTTGCAAAGGCTACTGTTCCAAAGCAGACTTTCCTTTATTATTTTCCCTTATACCTGCCCCCTACTCAGCAGTGGCATAACATAATAATTTTATTATTTTATCTTTATTGACATCCCAACATCTAAAAATCCCACATTCAGAAAAGCTGTTCATTCAAGAATCATTTATTTATACTAATATCCACTGCTTTGTCTATCTTGCATCACGTCTTTAGTGTAATTTTAATAGCTACAGTTTCACAGAAATTCAGATGATGTATCAGCCTCACAGCCTCCCAAACCAAGCACAGTCATTCTCCAACAGATATGCGGCTTTTTACTTGTTTTCTAGACCTAAAAAAAAATACTTAGCATGGCAGTCAGATGTATAATCTTCTACTTCTCTTATACAGTGGAAGTGTGGTGTATCTGACAGTAACAAAATTTTTAAGCACTTTCAAAATCCTTAATCCATGCCTTAAGTTGGGGCTGATCTACCTGCATCATCTGCAGTTTGTAATCTTGTAGATGTTCACATCACTGGTGATTCACAAAGCAAACTGCTCAATGTGTACAAACTATGGGAGCATACAAGACTGGTACAATGGTTCTTGTTTCACTCCAGGCTGAGGGATGCAATAGGGAATTTCAGAACTCAGTGGCTCTTACCTGTCTAGTCCTTAACAATGCCACAGGCAGCACAGAGGTGCTTGTAACAGAACTATCAGTAACAAAATTTGCTAAAACTTTGGAAAACCAGAAAGTCAGTCAAGATATCAACAGTGACAACGTAACTTTGAAAAGTTGCATTTACAGCAGCTCCTATGAGGCAATACACATTCCCAGTAGGTGTGGAATGCTATTCTGAGACACAACATTAACTTACTTGTTACAATCCCTGCCAAAGCTAATACAAACTGATTTTCCTCAGAATCCAAATCCTGCTGTTTCATGTCTTCACTTAATGACTTCACAAAGCTCTCCATGGTCTGGGCAGTGATTGTGAAAAACTTTACTGCTTTACTCTGCAAGCAAGGAGGAGAAGAAAGATTACACAGACTACAGCAACTATAATTATTAGATGCTACAGTAGAACTGGTCAATCTTCCAAATTACTAAAACATCCAGTTACTTCAAATAAACAACAGAAAATACCATGTATTCACTGAGTGACATGTTTGATCCCCTAATATTTGAAACCATTACCTTAGAAGAAAACAGGAAACCACTCAAGGCCACGTTTATTCATAAAACTGAACTACTGCATATCTACCTCCTAAGCACACAATAAGATATAATCAACCAGCAGAATGAAAGCTTATTATCAGAAGTAAGAATGTTTTCTCTTTGTTTTGCAGTAGTTGCACCACGTGTTTCACATTCACCTGGCCTCCTGCAGTAGCTTTTGTCAAAGTCAGCTGAAGATTGTAAACTTAACATGAAATTCCTGAGAAAACAATAAAGTCCCCAGAAAGAAAAAAGCAGGATTCAAATGGATCCTAATAGCACTCATTAATTGCTCAATAACAGCAACAAGATATGCAGAAGTTCTTTGGAAAAGGAAATTGAGGTCTCTCCTGGGTCACAGGTTGAACTTAAGTCAACCACATCATGTGAGAAAAAATAATCACCACAGCAGAGCACATGAAAGGAGCACAGCTGTAGTTTGGGACAGTCTTTTCCCCTCAGCTGGAATCCTGCTCCATTTGGAGGTATCTCAGCTGACGGAGCACCACCTGGTACAAAGCTCAGGTCAAAGAGCCTGGCCTGAGGTGCAGAGTCCACAGAGAAGGATGGAGAGTCCTGTTTCTGTTTATTGGTAATTCTGACTAGTAAAACACTGCTGGAACTCTATTTCACACAGACGATGAAGGCTTTCATAACCAAAACTGTGTGGCAGAGAGCCCATAATGCTGAGTTTTCCCAGTGTCTTTAACAATTTTTCCAATTGTTTCATGAAGCAGTGACCCAATGGGAGAGTTCAAGAAATGCCAGAACGTTTATTCATTTTGTGAAGCGGCTGAAAATCTTCATACTTTTACAAAATTACTGCTTTGACAGTATGTGCAAAGCTAGTGGTAACATCTATTTATTCCTCCACTGCTGCAAATTCACCACATTAAAGATGTACTGTTCCTGTGGGATGACTTCAGCAAGGGGGGACAAAAAGCAGGCTCAGTCAACACAGTATCTTGACAAATGATGCTGTGGCCCCAGAACAACAGGAATGAAGGCATCATGGAGAAAAAGGAGAAAGGTAAAACTGCAGGTGCTGGATGTAGTTTTTATATGGACACCACTCCTCAAATACAGCATTTTTAACAGAAGCACTGACTACAGCTCAAGAAGCAAGAGGGTGTGAGAGAAAATGAAGAGCCCAAGAAGTCATTATGAAAATATATATTCACATGGGAACATGAGGGTACTAAGCACCCTGAGCAGTTGGTATGTTGCACAGAAAACAAGAAAAATCTTCTATCTGCCAACCCTGGAGGTTTCACTGGTGCTCTCTCTGCTGATCCTCCTTTCCACACAGCCACTACTTAACTAGTGCTGAGTTCCAGCAGAGACCCATCAGGTTTATAAACAGCAAACACTGCACACTCTGCACAGTCCCTTATTAACTTGATGGCATTTTCATGGGACTGAAGAATGTCTCACCCACACATGTTGAGATAAGAACGGTTCTGAAAGCAGCCATTGAGGTGCTTGAGCTCAGATGGTGCAATGAACCCTCTGCTGTCTGTGGAACTCCTGTGTGAAAGCTCCAGGTAACATGAAAATTTGCTGCCACAAAATATAAAGTCGTTTGTCACCGTATCAGACAACTGAAGTAGCAAAACACCTTGTAGGATCCAAAATTTCTCAAGTTGAAGCAAGCCTTGATGCTGTTCTGAAATCAAACCTCCAGGTTGTATTTCCATGTGAGAAACCTGTCATATCTGGCTGAAGCTTTTTGAAAGACATCCAAAACAATCTCATGGAAATTAATGTACTTCTTTTTTTGGTGCATGCAGGTAGGAAACCTTGAAAACTCTCTCATGGTGTTTCTCTGGATGTCTCTTCATATTCTCTCTAGGAACATGGGCAAAACCAGCAGGCATCTCTCCCCCACTGCCTTGAGAACTACCTGTGTCACATTTCAAATCTGCTGCTTAAGCTCTGATTTTCCCAACCCTTAGGGACACAAAACAATATTGGTCACTAACATCATTTCAGTCCATTTGCATTACAGGACTGGAAGAAAGACCTACTTCTGTATTGCTTCAAAGGCTGAAAAAAGCTTGGGCATTGTTCTGTAAGGCATGACATGATTCTGAATTGATGCCACCTTCCCCATGTGCTTAAATATCAGCAACTGTTTCAAAGCACCCTTGATGTTCTCATGCATTTGCGTGGTTCACAGCACCTTCTCAGGGGAGGAGGGAAGAAGCTACAAGCTGTACAACTTGTCCCAAAATAACCCAAACCAAATATGTTGTATGACAAATCTCCATCATCTTTTAATGACCTGACTCACTGCCAGTTGCAATCTGTGGTTGACACAATGCCACACAATCCATTTATGCTTTTCCTAGGAGTTTTGTTCCAAGCCCAGGCACGTTTCTAACGGTGTTATGTGCACCATCCCGAGAAAATGATGCCTCCAAATGTTCTTCTGATCTTCACCAGAAATACAGCAGTTCAACAGGCTTTAATGATTGCTGGAAATGACTAGGAGAAGCATTTTGCATTTCAAACCAACCTCACCCACAAACAGTTGGGTTTTTTACCTTCAAACAAATCCTCAGGCAACGGTTTTTAACTAATCCAACTGAATATTAATACTTAAGACTGCTTTCAACAACCAGCCTTGTTCTTTAAATTCTAACTGCTTTATACAGTGTTTTACAGATGTTTGTCCTAGTAACTGCTGCTTGGATTTGGAATCAGAAGTTATCATTAATAAGGAATCACTGTACAGCTTTCTAATATCCAATATAAACTTTTAATTATATTTTGGAACACCCAGCTAGAACAACTCTTACAAACACATTGGTTTACCACTTACTAAAATGAACTAATCCTATTCACTCAGCTGCTCATCATGCTGCTGAAAAATGAAGCCAAAAGAAACTGTGGCATCAGTTCACTCAGATTAAATACAGCAATTCCTTCTCATGTTGGCTGTGTCAAGAATGAAAATCATATTTTTATCAGGCTTGTTTCCTTAGTCCCTCCTAATTCCATCAGCTGCACTTGGCAGTGAAATTGTGATAGCTGCAATAATGCCATTGTCATTAACTGTTGTTGTTCTGGTTTGTTATTGGGTTTTATTTTTTTTAATAGTCTACTTGCCCATGTTTAATATTGATGATTTAATAGGACGAACGAGCAGTGAGGGTCTCAATTTCCAAGAGTCATTCATGTATTAAGGCAGCAGAAAGATTTTAAGAAGCTGAGAAACAATGGATCTGTCTTTTCTCATGGAAATAGCTCCTCCAAGCTCTCCACAGGCATGGAAACTCCTGCATGTGCCCAGGAACTATTCTCTCCTTCTGTTAGCTTGTGAAGATATTTACATTCTACTAACTGTAGTCTTGCTTCCAGTGTGTGGTGGGAAACAGATAACCCTCATTTGGTAACAAAAGAAATAATTACTGCATTTATTCATAACACTTCACAGCTCCAACCCTTCTCAAAAGAGAATTGATGGCTCCCAAAGAACATGAAAACCAGAAAACATTTTTGCTGTCCAGTCAGTTTCTGAAATACATCCTTTAAGTGTGTTCGACAGCAAAGCCCTTATTTTAAAGGTCCTTGTTTTAAAGGCCTGAGGGCATTCCCAGCAGTCAGTATTCACCTGCCATACTTACTCCTCCTAGAATGGACTTCACAGCCTCCTCATTGCTGGACACCCCCCAGAGCAAGGTGCACACTGCTGCTCCCATCTCTGTGCAATACTCTGCCTGCTGCAGGAGCTGCTGCTTGGCCTCGTTCAGCTGCTGCCGCAGGTCCAGTTTCTCCTGGAACAGCGTAAGGAAATTTTGGTTGCACTTCACGTTTGCCACACCAAGTTTCTAGGCTAAGGGACAGAACCAGAAACACAATCATGGCCATCTCTGAAAAGGGAGGGTAACCCAGAGCTGTTGCAGACACATTCCTTCTCTCCTGAGCTGTCTCTAAGTATGCAGGCTGACAGGAACCAGAAACTGTCCACAAGGTCAAACCAAGTGACCCACAGAGACTGAGTGGCACCTAGAGAAGCCTGGCAGGAGACATCTCCCCCTGAGCAAACAGCTCCATTGTCTCTTCAGGAGAGAGGGGATTTCAGCATCAGGGGCCAGCCTTCCCTGACACCTTCCAAAAGATACAGGAAACATCTTACAGGAGGGGAGGGTTGTTTTGTTTTTCAAAACAGGCTTCTGTTCTAGCCAACGTGGAAGGAACAGTTGCTGGATATCCAGGATAAATACTCTTGTCTCTTCCAGCTCTTTTCTCTTGGCGTAGTCCTGAGCAGCAGTGGTAAAGCAAGACAGAGTCCCAAAACACACACCTAAGGTTTGAAGTTTGGAGAACCTTCCATTGCAAGAAAGCTGAGGTACCACTGTGCATCCATGAGATTCTGAACAACCTGATCTAGTGAAAGTTGTCCCTGCCCACAGCAGAGGGGCTGGAATGAGGTAAAACCACTACAAAATCCCTTCCAATCCAAACTATTCTGTAACACAATGATTCTATGATCACTTAAGTGACCTGCTAAGTGGTTCTTGCCACAAAGCATAAAGAGAGAATAGATCAACCCTACAGAACCAGAGCACAACCTCCATTTGGCAGTACTTTTCTCCAATCACAAGGGAAGCTGGCTGGAAGAATATCATGGAATTGGGCGGGATTCTAGGTCTCACTGGCTTCCTACCAGCTGCCACAGGAGCAGCAAAGCTGCTGCACTTCTTGGTTTAGAGCCAGCACAGACAGGGAGATCACGGCAGGAATTCTGCAGCCTGTGTCTCAGGGTGGATGTGGACTCCCAGCTAACCAGGCAGGGTGGTATTAGTGCTGCAGGGAAAGATCAAGGCCAGTCCAGAACAATTATGCTAACTCAAGTATTAAAAGAGAGAGAATCACAGATTGCACACTGTCAAAAAACAGAAGGATCTTACTCTGCCCATTTTACAGACATGATATTTTCAAATTCACTGCAGAAAACACCTTCCTCAGCTCAGCCTTCCCAGTGTGTTTGGCTATCAGGATGAAGTATGGGGAAATGGGAAGGAATCTTTTCTATGTCAATTTTGAAAGTAGCTAAACAGAACAAGACTTTCAATCATGTATTGTCATCAAGACTTTAAGTATCTTGTTGATTTTGGGGTTCACCTCAACGCTTCATGTTGAGGGTTTGTAAAGAATAGAAATGTAAACTCATCTGAAAATTTAAATAATATGCTGTCAACCAGTACAGAGTTGTGTGTGCTCTTTCACCAACTACCTCCTGATCACACCTACCAGCCTGATTTGCACTGCTGCTGATGGAACACGCAGGTGAGGATTTGTAAAGTTCAACTTTAATTTCTCAAGCAGACTTTTGTGTGTGTTTACTCTCTGGAGTCTCTCTCACCTATACAGGCAAAAGACACTTGCTGCTGACTCCATAGGCAGAAACTCTCAGGAAAAGTCTCTTATTTCTTAATACTTTGATCACTTTTAAGCAAATTAGCCAAATTCCATCTTTTACATGACTCACTGCCAGGCCTATCAGCTTTTCTGCCACCATGTGCATCCACAAAATGTCCTCAGGCATCTTCCTGCCTAATCCCTATATTCTCCCTGTCTTTTCCACACTGTCCTAGTATTAGGGAAATGTATCTTTAATACATTTTATTTGCATTTGGATGCTAATACTGAGTAAGACATAAAACCCAGTAATACCAAATCTAGATCCCCCAAAAGCATGCAAAGCCAGCAGAAAAAATGCCAGAATTTTTAATAGATCAAAAGCAACATCGGAACAAAGACATGAAGCAAGGAAAACAAAATAGTACATGCAAGAGCCAGAAAAATAAATGGAGCCTGCAAAAGCAAATAACCTGGCTGGAAGCAACACTCCTAAGGGCTCACATCATCAACAATCCCTGTGCTATGCAACACCACCATCTTCAGGAAAAGGTCAAGGCACAAGAACACAGCAGTGCCCAAGTATGGAACTGTAAGAAGACAGACAAAGGAGACATCAGCCAAGAATAACATCTGCACTTCAAGTTTTGCTCAGGTTCAGAAAGCACAGCAATTCCCTAATCAGTGACACAGCTCTGCACAGAGAATTTGGAATGCAAAATGTTGATTTATGACAGCTTCAGAAAAGGACACTGCTCAACCAGAAATGCATTTATTCCATGTTTGTTTCAGTGAGTAATTTTCTTCTCCTTCAGAAGATAAATTTGTAGAAAATAATTCAGAAACTCCACACAAGGATGCCTAAAGCAGAATATCAACCAAATGAAAAACACCAGAAAAGTGACTAACAGGAACAAAAATCACTCATGTACACACACCATCTTGCTGTATCCTGAAAGCTAAAGGACTTCACAACATCATGAGCACAGTCCACTGAAATACACCTTCCTGGCACTGAACAGAACCCAGTCACACAACTGCCACACATGCACAACAAAGACATGAAGAGAAGAGCTTTGAGCAGAAACACCAAAACTGCTCCTAGTAAACTACGAATGCTTTAAGTGAAACTCATCCAAAAGAAATCATAAACTCAAACCACCTGCCCTTTATTTGTAGTATTAACAAGAAGCATGGGTGGGACTTGCTTCATTAATATCCAAAGCAACAGCATTCAATTTTACAGGAATTTTATCCTGCAACTAAAGACCTCAGTGCACAGCAAAATGAACTCTGTACTTACTGCTGAACTGCAACATTGATCCCAGAAGACATTTATTTTGAAATAAGGAATATCCAGATTGACAACTATTCCATCATACCAAACTTTATTCCAGAGTGTTTAATCTACACAGATATGTACTGAAAGTGCATTTCTGAACTCTTCATTATTCCTTTTCAAAAATGAAGTAAGTTTTGTGGTTCATCTGTCTTTGTGCAATCCCAAGGCTGGCAAATGCCAGCTGTACAACCCCAACTGCTAACTACTGCAGGAAGGCTCCAAGGAAGTGAACTTTTGCAGGAAATAATCACCACTGATTCTCACAGAGAATCATTTGAACCCAAATGGCTTCACAGACTGAGAAGTCGATGTCTTTGCTATTCCTTAATTGTTAAGAATCTCTCCTCTCATAATCACTAAATACAATATTGACAGAGCAAGAGGAGCCCTGAAATTGCTCCTTGATTCTCAGCTGTACATGGCAATTGGATCAATAGGTGCTTTGAGAAAGATTATTAACACTAAACAAAGTTACACAGCTCACAGCAAACCAAGAGAGGCTGCTTTCATGTACATTGCACTGCTGAAACTATCTCCTATTGTCCTCTTTGCAAATATGTTCTAGCAATGTTAAATTCACAAGAACTGGTTCTGTGAAGGACCTTTTAATTCTAGCTATGCCACAATCTTCCCAAATACCCAGTGTTTTACTTCAACATGTTAATATGGATATGGATGACTATTTGGATAGAAATCCCAAATAGATTTGAGACCAAGGATTCATTTGTGACAGGAAAATGAAAATTTTATCACTTCTGCTTTTGTTATTAGAACTCAAACACACAGTTATCAATATTCTGGCAGCACATCTACCTTCTTCTCTCTCATGCAATCTGCCTGGGCCGTTTCCAAACGGGCTCTAAAGTGTTCACAATCCATCCTCAGCTGCTCTGTTTCCTCCTCCTTCTTCTCCAGGCCTGTGACAGGATAAATCAGATAAAAGAAAGAAGGAACACGTTATGGTCATCGGGCCTGCATTAAAGCAAAGAAATCCACCAAGTGTGACTTTACCGAGGTGCCTCAGCCGTTTGCTTGTGCGAGATCACCTCCCCGTGGCCAAACGGGAATCTCACAATTTGCTGTGTGGTAACAGCTCTGAAAAAGCAAACCAATGTCTGATTTAAAAGGATCACATCTGGCTGTTAAATACTCAGGGTTGAGAAGATTTTTTAAAATTTACTCTATTTTCTATTTTGTTTTCATGTTGGTTTCCATGAAAACTCCATGAGTGAAATTTCACCTAAGTCAGTGACTATATTAAAAACAAAAGAAAAACACCAACAGTAGTCAAAAGTGAGTGTTTCAATCTACAATTTACAACTTACGTGGATAGCAAGAACGAAAAGCAACTATTCCAAATATTTTAAAATAGTATTTATAAAGTAGTATAAGCAACCTGGGCTAGTGAACACTGTCCCTGCCCATGGCAATGAGGTTAGAACTGGATGATCTCTAAGATCCCTAGCAACCCAACACATTCTGTGATTCCATGATTATAAACTATTTAAACATTTTGTCAGTTACAAGCAAATTTTATTATTCCCTTATAAAATTAATTTCTGATATTATCAAATTTGATGTTATCAGAAATTCATTCTAATTTCACTTTATTTTAGTGAACAGAAATCAAGTTAAAAGTATTCCATTTCACCAGCATGATGCCTGTTTAAAAAATTTCTCTTTGAAGGACAGTTTTAATAATAGATGTGTATTGTATCTTACTTTAAAAAACCACACTTGTGGATGCTTAGCATTTATACTGAAAAAAGGAAACATGTTTAAGTAGTTCAAAAAAGTAAAATCCAAACAGCATCTACTGTAACCTTGGTTAGTTTAAAAAAATGAATTACACCCTACTTCAAACACCATACCCTTGAACATGACAGCTTGGTCTACAGTTTAACATACTTGAAATACTTTCCCCAATATGTGACAGAATTTTTTAATGTAATTACTAAAAATCATATCAAATTCTATCATAAAAAGACAACATAATTAAAAACTATCCAAATATGTTCTTATTAAACAAAGGACTTGGCTTCTGGCATTCTATTTAGTAGTTCCACATGATTTGAAAATAAATACCTTCCTGTTTTGGTCCTAATTGACAAGTTTATCATCTTAAGTATACACACATTGCTTTGAGTAGCCTGTATAAAAGGAGAAAAGCTGTTTGTGGCTGATTTATCTGAAGAGGTAGAACATATTTCCACTCAGCCCTTGTGTGATTCCAAGCCAGCAACACATTTTAGCAGAAAGCAAAGAGGCAAGGCAAGGGTTCACTGCTGACAAACATCTCTGTGCCAGGACACGCTCTCTGAGCAACTTGCTTCTTTTCAATCCGCAGTCCAAAGGAAAAGAATGAAGGGAGAAATGGATTAAACTGAGTTTTTGAGGATAACTCTGGTCAGTGGCAAGAAACCTCCCTTCTGTCAAGTGAAGAAAATTCAGTCTCATGCACTTCTGACTATGTGGCTGTGAGTCCTAAGAAGCTGACAGCAAGATGTCTTGAGCAGGAGTAGAACATGCTCTGCTTACCTACAGCAGGCCAAGAGCCTTGCCAGATAAGTTCATTCAGTGAAAATCTCTGTTCCTGCAAGGAAACAAGCTCTCCAGAAAGAGAAGAATCACTTCCAGTCTTTGAGAGGATGGATCCAGCCTGAATCCAGCAGACACACAAAGATGCCACATCCTTCTCCAGCAAACTTCAAAGGTCCCAGAACCAAACCTGAGCCAGAAGGGGAATAGTAATGACTACTTATTGTTAACACAATGAACCTGGACTTTTTAAAGGGCTTCAGATAAAAGAAGGATGTGCCAACATCCTCTAAGGTATCACAATGTTTTATGTAGAAGGGGCAAAAAAGGACAATAGAGGAAGCTGTGGAAAAGAGACTTACTTCCTTATTTGTGGAAACTTCCCTGCTATGCCCAGTCAGCTCTCCCAGCCGTGCCTTTGCTCTGAAGAGAAAGAAGCAGCTTTCACTACCAACTTGGATGAGCAACAAAAAACCTGAAATGGTGCCTTCACACAAAGAAGAAATACGTAACTTCACCACTGCAGTGGTAAATCAGACTTTGGGAAGAAGTGGCACTTGCTCTCTAGGTAGAGACTCCAAAGCAGAACAAGACACTGGGCACAGGAAAGAAGAGAAGGCCCCCATTTCAGATGAGAGGTGCACTTGGTCTCATCCACAGAAAGTTATAGGTCATACTGGGAGACTTTCTGGACCACAGATCTAATCTCAAAGCTCTGGAAGGTGGACAACTGAGTACAATAGGAATGAATGCCAACAAGTGATGGAACTCCAACTCTAGTGATCCAAATGCCAGACCAATGTTAAATGCTATTTTTAACACTTCCCAAGTGGAGTGAGTTCCACTAAACATATCATAATAATACAGAAAAATTGCTGGAGCTGTATTTCTAAAACTTCTGGAGCCAAGCACTCTTCCTGAGAAGGGTAATAAGAACAAAACAGAACCTTCTTTTAGAAATGAAGAATTACCCTGGCAAAAATCTTAATGAAGACCCTGACAGCAGCCTGAAAAGCAGGTGTTGGCTGCACTGAGCATTGCCAGCTCAGATCTGAGAGATCACCCCCGGGAAGCCACAGGAATGGGTGTCCTATTGGCCTGCACACCAGGGAAATGTGCAAAGATCTCAAGGTTTCTCAAAGCTGTTCAAGACTCTGACTGAATGGGTTAGAGGTGTTGAAAGCCTCTGACTGTAATCTGCACTTCTTGAGGGAATGGAGACTGCTGCTCAAGTACCCAGAAAACTGTAACAGCTGATGGAAGTCTGGAGATGTACAAATCACACATTAGGCTTAATGTAAGAACATTAAAAAATATCTCTAGGAGCTGCCAGGACTCCTGTGAGCTTCACATGCCACACCAAGAAGCTGTATGTAGCAAACAGCACCATTCTGAGAGTGAAGGCTGTTTGTGTCCCTGTGATGTCCCACCTTTAGTGATTTGTATGCTCCAAAGCCTCCTTTCAGTCTGCCTTATTTCATGCTGCAGAGGTAGGAGAAGACTGGAGCAGCAAAAATCTCCACTTGACTTGTCCAGTTATAGGGGCACACCGTGGCCAGAGCTTGAATAAATACACAGATGACCTCATGACCTGCAAAAGAAATCTCCACTGTGGAGAAAGACTCCAGAGAATTCAAAAGCTGTCTCAGCTTCAGGTCCTACCCTCGAGGACCCAGAAAATTCTGGACAGCCAGCAGAACATTTGAAGGAGTCTTAAAATCCCCATGTTGATGCCATGAGCCTGCTCTGGATGGACAGTGTCTCCTTGATGCCTGGCACAAGGAATGTAAGAAGGATCAATGAGAGGAATCCCAAGACAAGTAAGTAACGACTAATTGAGGATCTTGAACACTTAATGTAACTGGAAACAGTCCCTGATGCCTTGCCACAGAGAACACTTCCAGATCCTATCCACTGCTTGTGACATGGAAGAATCTTCCCAAAAAGTGGATCACTGAGGCAGGTGGAAGCTCTGCCCCAATATATTACATTGTCAGACACAGGCCTTGAGGCCCTACCTTGCTTCTCCTTAGCTACCTGTTGCAAATTAATTTTCCATTTATCACTTGGTATTCTAGAAGAGACACACCCTCTGTAATCAGTCTCTTGTACCATGCCTTTTCAAGCAAACCCACATCCAGGTAAACTGTGCAGCTGCAGCTAAGCTACAGACCAGGGATGGAGCTGACTCCTATTCGGCCCTGATGGCATGTTGGGAGAGGGGTTATTTTTGGAAAGAAAAAATGGACTTTGGGGACAGCAATAAAAATACTTTTATAACAGAATCTTTTTTTTTTATTATTATTAGTAAAGCATACAAGCTAAAAAAAAAAACAAGACAGGCCAAATATGAGATTAACTCACTCTTCCTTCAAATTTTTACCCACTGCTATTTACCATTATTTTGTTGGGGTTTTTTTTCTGTGAAAGTCACCTTTTGAAAAACAAAATGTTTTTGCCTTTTCTCAAAGAGAAAACAAATTTTTCCCCATACAGCTTCCCTTACTGCCTGAACTACATATGTTTTTATCCACAGTCAAATATTTTTAAAGATTAATTTGACATGTCTGATTATTCCTAAGGCAGCTTGTAATTTTCTTCACTGCAAACACATTAATTTACTGAAGCTGTCACTGAACAACACAGTTGAATCTGGAATAGCTCCACAAAATGTACAGCTATTTCTGGAGCACAACAGTTTGTTCTAAGCAGTTCTGGCAGAAACTGCAAGAGCTTGTAAGATGGTGCTACTCACTTGATTCAATAGCATCCAGCTTCTGGAATGTCCCCAGGATATCTCCATTTACTATTTTGGGTAAGAAATCCCGCAGTTGCATAACTTCAGTTGTCAGCCTTTCCAAATCCCTCCTTCTAACTTTAACGAATTCCTCTTTGGTCTCAGTCTTCTGAAATAAAACAACAAAGCAAAACAAAAACAAACCAACAACCAACCAAAGACACTGTTACAGTCCTGTTGTGCTTTTCTGCTTCCATTTCTTTTCCTGGACAAAAATATTCCTCTCTATGACATCATCTCAGCAATTTGTAACTTTTTAAAGAGAACTATCCAACAATCAAAAGTCTCTGAGGTTGATCCTTTGACTGTAATCTTAATTTCTACTACTGTGGCCTTAAGTAAATAGCATTACATCTCTTCATGTGTTTCTTCATCCAAAATGTGTGCACTGCATCTGGGAATGCTGCGAAAATTAACACTCACATTTTAAAATGTGAGCAGCACACACCAAGCTGTTGTTTCATGACTGTTGTAAAGGATATGATTACTCAGCTTTTTAATTAATTCAAACATTTGCAAGATCCTCAGTCCTAAATTACAACAACTCTTTTGGAGGAATTGCACAGCTTTCAATCCAATTTATCTATTGTGAAGAGCAAAAATTACTTGCAGCCATCTGCAATCCAATCTCACATAAATAATTTAACCCCAAGGTATGACAGAAATGTTTACTAGCTTCCTTTCCAGCCAAACTACAGCTATAGAATAATTTTCATTCAACATTCCAGCAGAATGTGTGTTAATTTTAAAATGACAGAGCAATTTCTGTAAAAAAAAAACCCCATGAAGTCCAATTTCTGATGTACATACATGTGCACTCTGCTGGATATTAAAAGGACTGATACACATAAAAACAAAAGGAAAGCTTTAACATGTTTTGACTAAAACATCAATCACTTAATAGGCTTTCAGAAAGCAAAGTTATATCTTAGTATTGCTTTGCACTGCACTGAGAACAGTGCTGACAAAATGAGATGTTTTATGGATCACATCTTATTGCAGAGGGAAAAGGCTAACAAACCAAAATCTCATCTACAGCTTCAAAATGTGCCATCCCCACAGTCCCCTCAAGAGCAGACACACAAAACAAATGGGAGTCATCCTCTCCAACCATTCCCTACAATTCTTTCTGCTTCCCTTCTTCCTCACACTGAACATTTCCTTTCAGGTTTGCTTCCTGCTCTATTTCTTTCCCAGCTGTCTTTGAAATCCAGATAGTTTTAGGACAGGTCAGTCCCACCTCTGTGGGTTCAGATATGTAATGAAGGTAGGCAAGAAATATTTTGCTTTAATTTGAACTGTAAGCTCTAAGCTGCATCTAGGAGTTGCTTACGGCAAGGTTCTTAAGGCCAAGTAGCACCACGTGATGTGACTCTAGAAAAATTCCACTCATCTAGGTCTCAAGAAAGCATGGAACAAACACATGGGAAGAGGAGTATTTAGAGGAATGCCATCTGTGTGTGAGCAGCCATGAATGACAGAGAGAATTCAGCATTGCTCAGACTTACAGAGCAAAATCTGGTACATAAAAATAGCTCTGTTCACTAGCAGAAGCTGAATTCAAATAAAACACGCTGTGAATCACTGGTGTTGAGATATGAAATATGCAGTAAGGAGAAAATTCTCCTTTGTAGTTCCCACTGTAAGCACAGGTCCTTGCAGCACTGCAGTTACAGCAGACAAGTTTTATTTTCCCTATTAAACACCTTCTCCACATCCCTCTGCACTACAGGAGTGTGTTAAAGGCAAATACAGACGGGGAGAACAGGAGTTTTCTGTCCAGCCCTTACAGTAACAGCAGGTGCCTGGATGGAGGAAATTTGACTTCACCGAGTTGTTCCACAGGGGTGAAGTCACCCAGTACCGCACCTGAGCTCCTGTCCTGCCTGGGGTGAGCCCAGGGACGGGAATTCCCTTCCCTGCCAGTCGGGGGGGGCGAACAGGGCACAGCTCCCCGCTGGCCATGAGCCCCCAGCCAGGAATCACTGCCAGCCCTGTCCCCACTCACTCTCCCCCAGCCCAGCGCGCCTCTGGCACCGCTCCACGGCCCCCACCGCGCTCCCCTCTCCCTGCGGCCCGCCATCGCCCCCTCAGGGCCCCGTAAGGCCCAGGACACCACACAACCCCCGCTCCTTCTGCTCCTCGGGGCACCCACGCCCGCATGGACCCCCGGGCTGGGCCGGGCCTCAAGGCCAGCCCCGAGCGGCCCCGGCCCCCCGCGATACCTGCGCGTCGCCAGCGAGGCCGGCGCTGCGCCACATCGCGACAGCGGCGTCGTGCGGCGGGGGGGGGACGGCGTGAGGGCGGGAAGGGACAGGCTACAGCCACGCCCCCGCCGCGGTCACGCCTACTCCTATTGGGCAGACGCCTTGTGGGGGCGTGGTCTGGGCGTAGTCTGATGGTTAGGCTCCGCCCCCAGTCCCGCGACTACACCGGGATAAGATTGGAGTAACAGCGGGACAATACCGGGATAACACTGGGGTAGCAGTGGGACAATACCGGGAAAACACCGGGATGACACTGGGACGACACCGGGTTGTGCGAAGCTGCGGGCCGGCCCTGCCGTGGTGCCGCTGGGGCTGGAGGGCTGACTCCAAGCTGGGAGGGAGCATTGGTCTGCTGGAGGAGGGCTCTGCAGGGGATCTGGGCAGGCTGGATGGAAGGACCGAGTGCTGGCAGGTTCAACAAGGCCAACTGCTGGGTCCGGCACTCGGGTCACAACAAGCCCCTGCAGCTCCAGCGTGGGGAAAGAGAGTCTGGAAAGCTGCCCGGAGGAAAAGGAGCTGGGCTGCTGGTCAGCAGAGGCTGAACCAAGTAGCCAAGGCCAATGGCACCTGGCTCGTGTCAGCAATAGCGTGGCCAGCAGGACCAGGACAATGATCATGCCTCACCACAGGCACAGGTGAGGCCGCACCTCAGGAGCTGTGTCCTGTTCTGGGCCATGGGCCGCTCCACAGCGTGGTGACCGGTCACAGGCTGGACTCGATGATCCCAGAGGTTCTTTTCCAGCCCTCATGACTCTGTGATCTGCCCGGGCCGGTGGAGAGCCCCTGAGGGGGACCCGGCCGGTGCCTCCCGTGGGTGGCGATGCCCGGCACTCCGCGATGCCCCGGCACTCCGCGATGCCCCGGCACCCCGCGATGCCCCGGCACTCCGCGATGCCCCGGCCCGTCCCCCCGCTCCGCCTCCCGTGGTGACGGCAGAGCCCGGCGTCGCTGACGGCATCAGGCGGAGCCCGGCACGGCGCGGTCAGGCCGGGCCGGCAGCGGGGCAGGGACGGGGTCGGGCCGGGCCATGGCTCCCGCGGCCGTGCAGCCGCCCGAGGTGCAGTTCGCGCAGCGCTTGGCCGCCAACGAGAAGCGCATCCGAGACCGCGCCCTCAAAAAGCTGCGGGGCTACATCGGCGTGCGGACCCAGCGGCCCGGCGGTACGGACCGGGGCGGGCCGGACAGGGACCGGGCTGGGAACGGGGACGGGGACGGGGACAGGGACAGGGACAGGTTCCGGTGCTTGGCGGGGGCAGCGGCGGCCCCGGCGGCCGGACGGCGTGGGGAGGAGAGGAAGCACCACGTGTGCGCCCCGAGCCCGGCACGCCTCCTCGCGGCTTCCTCTCGGGATTTTTTTTTTTTTTTTTTCCATTTCACTTTACATTTTGCCTTTTTTAATTTTTTTTAATTATTACTTTGTTTTCTTTTACCCGGTGCTGCCCCAGCAGCCGGGAGCCCAGGCACTCGTGGATCCTCGCTCGGGAAGGGGCTCGGGAAGGATGGGCTTGGGGCGAGGGAGGGTCTCGCTGGCAGCATTAACAAATCCGGGCTGGGAGCAGGATGGCTCGTGTGCTCTCGGTCCCAAGGAACAAGGAGTAAATGCACTGAAAATATCCAGGCTGGAAACAATCTGGTATATGCAGCATAAAGTTTAGTCTTCTGTTGTTTCTGTGAGGTGGTGTCTGTCTGTTTCCATGACTGATGTTCAGGAGAATCGGAGGGAATCGAGGAAAGCTAAGTTATGTTTCAGCACGTGTGTAATTGCAGCTGATTCTGTGTAACCCATTTGGGTTACCTGTTACCTCCACTTCATGGTATCAAAAGCTTTTTTTCTACGTTTTTCCAAAAATTCTGTTTGGAGCTGTATATTGGCACCTTAGAACTAAGAGTTCAGTGATGTTCCTGGAGCCTGTTTGAGGCTGGCAAAGCCAGTCTGAATCTCCCTGTGTCTGAAAGTGCCTCATGTGCACACTTTCCACAGGGATGTGTGTTATATATTACATATAATATATATAATGTCATGTATAATCTCTATTTTATATTTCTTTTATATATTTCTTTATTTTTCTTTTATATAAAATTTATCTTTTATAAGCTGCTTTATACATTATTTTATTATATATTAATTTATTTATATATTTTTATATATATTATTTATTGATATATTATCTATATTAAATTATTTATTATTGTATATTACATCTATATTTTTTATATTAGAATATATAATGTATATGGCTTTGGGGAACCAGCCTAGAGCTGACCTCAAGAGCTAAACTGGAGTGCTGGTTGAACCTCTGTGACTTCCTGTATTCACTGTAAAGTGAATATTGTTTCTTGCCTTTCCAAGTAGTATTTGACCCATTAGCCACGTCTGACAGAGAGAAGGACCCCCAGCACAGCCTTACAGGGTCAGGCCACAGAGCCAAACAGGCATTATCCCATTCCTGGCAGTTAACACAGATCTAGGCATTGCCTGGGGACTAGGATGGTGTACATCATGTACCTACCAAGTACTTTCTATTTTTTAGCTCTGGAGACTTTCTGAGGGGGGCTGTGTGTTCAGCAGTGCTCTGAGCATCTCACTGCAAAGTGCAGATTCCTTGGAGTTTGTGGAAGCAGCCACAGGAAGGACAGGGGTGCCCCTAACTGAGGGAAGGGGCTGCAGGTTCAGGCACTGCTGTAAAACATCATGAAACCACAAGGAAAAGCCACAGCTCAGTTCGGCTGTGAGCCTTCTGCATGTTAAAATCAGCACACCATGGAATGCAAATGAGTAGGAACCAAGGGTGATTAATTTCCAGAGCTCTCAGATTTGTTTGCTGTTAGCTACTATCCAGACTGGTAGTATTAAAACAAAGATTAACTTCTTTGGGCTTGGAGAGAAAGCATGTTCAGGAGAGAGGGGTTTTTTAAAGTTATTTATTAATTAGCAGTTATAATTATATATATGAAGTTATATATATAAAGCATATAAAGTTATTTATTATTAGCAGTTATTTATTAATTAGCAGTTATAATTATATAAAAAAGTTATATATATAAAGTTATTTATTATTAGCTGTTATTTATTAATTAGCAATTATATTATATATTATTATACCCATCCAATGTTCTGAGAGGGATTCACACATCAGGCAGCCCAGGTAAGATGCCCTGACCTGAGGAGTTGGGAATGTGCTGACTTTTGGCAGAAGTGCTGGAGTTCACCTGATGTTCAGGGCTGTCAGGTGTTTTATAGGTGGACAGGGCTGCTCTGTGTGGTCTGTGCTAAGGCTGAGGGAGCTTCTTCAAAGAGCCAGAGCTCTTCATTTTCAGCAAGAAATTAAACTCTTAGAGAGCACTGAACTACCAAATGAATCAGTGAAAGAATAGTAAACAGAAATTACTTATAGTAAAAAAGGGCAGATTGCTAGGGGAGTTTGCTGTGTGACAGAGCTGCACTTACTTGGGCCTGGATCTGTAAGGGATTTATATAATTTCCAATTTATATAATTTCCAATTTATAAGTTTGAAATGTGCCTGTGTGGATCTGGTCCACACAAGTTAATTACAATTATCTAGAATAGGAAAAATTGTAACAAATTCAATGATAGCAGTGTCAAAGCAGCCCAACTCCCAGTCAGAAAGGCTGGCAAAGCTTGCATTAAAGTAGCTCTGAGGGGTTGTAACATGTTCATCCCAGCTCCACAATACACAGAACAGAGTTACTGTGCACAGGGACAGTTACAATTCAAGCCCTAAAGCCAAAATCTTTCTCAGGATAGGTTCAAGGTATAGGCAGCCTTCAGTTCTGGGCACTGTGGTTGCTAATATAATGCATTCAGGTTTTAAAATAACCTTACTTTAGTGGGTTTTATTTGCCAGCTGTGGCTGGGGGACAGCACATAAAGTTGAACAACAGAAAACACAATCTTGAAACTACTCTTGAGGCACTGGGATAAGAAAATTGCTTTATTTTTTGGCCAGAGTCTTCTGTCAAATGGACACAGGACTGCTTAGGACACTTTAAAAAAGCCCTGTGTGTATGAAAAGAAAAAAAAAACAAACATGAAAGTCTGTATTTTCTTCCCTCAGAGCACAGGAAGTTATTGTCCCTGGAGGGATTTAAAAGATGTGTAGATGTGGCACTTGGGGACATGGTTTAGTGATGGCCTTGCAGTGATTATCTGAGAGGTCTTCTCCAACCTGAATAATGCTATGATTAAATTCTGTGAACTCCTGAGCCACATTTATGGGTAGCTGGTGGTGCCTCTAGGGTTAATGCTGCCTGTGAGGTTAAAACTGCTTCTTACCACTCAGTATGTCACACACAATCCCCTTAAGAAATGTTATTAATTTTAATATTTCAATGAATCTTAAATCAGTGAATCAATTTGTTTCATATTTTATCATAACAGTACTGTCAAATCTAAGTTAAATTTATAATTAATGCTTAATATTACTGGACACATTGCTTCCTACATAGCATTTTGCATATCCCCTCACTTCCTTTCTTTTCACGCAAGCAGGTGTTTTTGTCTGAATAAATTTTGTTTTCAAATGACTTGGTCCACAGAGAAGGTGCACAGTTTATATCTTGCACTGGGTCTCAGGCTTTTTGACTGGCAGACCCCTGAGACAGCGATCTTTTTGGAGCAAATTTGAGCTTACTGAAGATGATGCCCTTTTCAAAGTGATTTTTCATGAGATTTCTTGGGAGTATTTAATAGGCCGTAGTTTGAAAATAGCTGTAGTAGGTCACTGTAGCTGCCTTGTAACAATGTACTGTTACAATTTTACTTTGCATAAATTTTGCTGATGTAATGAAAAACCCAGTTCTTGAGCAGGTATCAGTGACTTTCCATGCAGTACTTTACTTCTGGAATGTGAAAATATTTTTTTGCTGTTAAAATTCAGGTGTTACTACATCCCAAGACTAACTATCAGAAAAACTTTCATTGTAGTTGATCAGGCTCTTTGACTGTAAAGTTTAATGTAGAAATAAATGTGTTGATTGTTATAAGTTTATTCTATCAAAACAAACCCCTAGTAAGGAGTAAAACTATTGGTAGAGTGAGACTTGTTAAAAACAACAAAATAAAAAATATCATGTCTCTTGTAAAACTATTTCTGATACTCTCATTCAAAATTTCTTTCAGACTTGGTGTTAAAAATATGCCAGAGGCATTTATCAGAATTATCTTGGTATTCATCTTACCTGTGATTGCTTTGAAATTTTTGTTGTTTTTGTTTCAGTACAAGGTAGAAGGTTACAGTTTCTATCACTGTTCTATGCCAAATTGCCTTCCAGTTAATGTGCTTACAGGAGCAACCCAGAAACAATAACAAAAACAAAGAAGAGAGCAGAGGGAACTGCATGAAAATATTTTGGTATCTTGGTATTTTTTTCCTTTCATTCAGACTTGTTCTGTACTGTAGGTGGCTTCAGTCTGGAAGAACTGCTGAAAATATGGAAGGGCCTTTTCTATTGTATGTGGATGCAGGATAAACCTCTGCTTCAGGTATAGTAACTGAGTTTTTATTTGCTTGAGGGGGTCCCTCTAAAATACACTCTAGGGACATACTAGTTTAGAATGGGGGAAATTATAATTTCTTACCCTTCCCCTGCAGCCCATTTGTGGCAGGTGCAGGTAACTCAGTGATCTGAACATGAACAGATCATCTTTGGAGTCACCTTCTGAGGGGCTGGTGTAGCTGTTTACCTTTCAAAAGGGGAGCTAAAATAGATGCCTCATGAAATGTTGATTTTGTGTAGCTAAAACTGTAACAGCAGGT